AGGAGGAGGAGGAGGAGGCGCGGGGCCCGAGGTCCGCGGCCGCGCCCAGCCGAGGCCACACTGCGTGACCAGCAAGGCCGGCGATTCTCGCTTGCAGGACACATCTTACATATTTTATCGCCCAGCTTACTTCTTACATGTAATTCAATATCCTTTGCTTCTTCTGTTGTTTCTGCTTGCGCCTCGCTGGACCCGCGCCAGCGACACACAGGACATGACGAGCTATGGCCTGGCGGGAAGCTGCCCGAACGCGTGGCGGACCAGCGACCTCCGGAACTGGGAGATTGCCGCGCTGGGGCCTTCAGCTGCCGGGCGGGCGGCGCGCCGCAGGCGCCGACTCGCCGCCGAGGCAGCCGCGAGGCGTGCGCGGGCTGGCGCCTGCAGCTTCGCCGACGCCAGCACGAACACCGACAAGAGCGCCAGCGGCAGGACCAAGTACATCGTGATCCAGATCAGCCCGACCCAGGTCGGCCAAGAGGTCGTCCCACCAGACGCCCGGGGCCATGGAGTTAACCGCAGAGAACGCCGCGCTCAGCGGCCACTACGCCGACGACATCGGGTCCAACCTGCGGAAGGAGGCGCCTGTCTTCGTGCCGATGTTGGACCTGCAGGCTCTGCCTCAAGTCGTGCCGATCGCATGTGCGGCGGACCAGGCCTTCCTAAGAAGGGCCACCCGTGCCCACCGCGCCGCCGCTGCTGCTGAGGGTACCACCGAGAGCGATTCCACCATCGAGAGCGACTCCAGCCCGGCTCGAGAGCCACCCTCCGCAGCCGACGCCACGGCAGCGCCCGCCGAGGAGGCTGCGCAGGCTGTCGATCCTGGACAGCCTCGTAGCCGCGCATGGCTCCAGAGCTTGGCGCGCCTGCTGGGGTCCGAAACTGCGCCGCGACGGAGGACGAGCGCCATCCGCTTCGACCTCCCGGGAGACTAACCGTGAGGGGCCCTCTCCCAACCTTCCCCTCCCTCCCTGCCCGCCCACTTATATGTTCTTCCGTTCCTGCTTTCCCCCCACTTCCTTCTCCTCCCCCACTCTTGTGGGTGCTGGAGATTGGGCCTGGCTGGGGAGGGACGCCCGCATTCATATATACGCCGCTTTGCTACCAGGCGACTCCCACCGCCACCAGAGGAGCACCGCGCCCAGGAAAGCCCGTCGCCCTCTCCTCTTCACCTCGTCTTTTTCCGTCGGATGCCCCATGGCAGGGGTCATTCAATTCGAGGCAAGTGCTGCCTGTCGTGGGCAGGGATACAGTAATACCTCGACGTGCCAGGCATACGTCGGGCTGCCTTGCGCCGCTACCGTCTCTTGGCACAAAAGGGCTGCGGTGCTACATCCCCACAAAAGATTGCGAAAAGCACCGGCGAGCTGGACCCATAACAGTGACCCCTCTCGACCTTGGCAAGCGCTGTTCGGGCATTGGTTGGAGGTTACTGGGGTGAACCGCCAAACCCCAGAGGCGAAAGCCGACCGGGCCCAGCTTCTCACCGCCTGCCACGCGGCCGTCTTTCGAGGAGGGAGCGGTTGGAGGGGATGGGGTTGGGATCGTCAGAGGACCGAGCTCGCCGAAGGCAAGTTTCGTCTTCGCTTCGCCTGTGTTTCGACCGCCGAAATCCGCATCAACAGCCCTCTCCTCCTTCGTTTCCTTCATATCCTCTCCACCTTCCGTTCTCTCTGGGCAAAAGCTTCAGCATAAACGCGATTTCTTTCACTGCTGCAGGCAGTAAGGGTCTTGTTCTGGTGGTCCAGCCCAAAGCCCACAGCACTTGCTACCGCCAGCCTGCCGCCAGAACTCACCGTCGGACAGGTCCGAGTGCTGTCGTATTAGCGAGTATGCGTTTCATGTACCACACGCGCCTCATATCGCTCACTTCTCTCCCTCTGGACCACATCCCCCTGCCACTGAAAGCAATCCACGCGAGGTCGCGTGGCGACTCGCGGGGTCAGAAGTGATGCATCAAGGCGCGCCCTGGACACCCTACCTTTCAGCCGTCGTTGGGCCCGCCTTGTCCGGGGGGATCACCCACCGCGGCCCACCTCACCCCCTATGTGTCGATGTCGGAACAGACTGGTTTCACCCTCAGACCAGACTGGTTTCACCCTTCTTCCCGCCGCCACCGATGCAGGGACGAAGTTCTGTCCACCGCATTTGGGCCAGTGAAGGTGGTGACCTTGGGGGATTTGACAGGATCAGAGATGGGACTGGAAGAGGAGTTCTATTTTCGGCACAGCCTGCTCTTTTCACAGATGGCCACGCTACCTCGCCAACCTTCCCCTTCTGCCTGCCCGCACTCTTTCCCTCTCCTCCCCCCTCGCTGGGTGCGCTTGCGTCCAGACGAACTTGCTTGGAGGTGCCACGACGCCGCTGCGGCCGAGCGCCTCGCTTTTTCGGTCCATCGCATTTGCTCACCTTCCTCTTTCTATCCCTGTCCTCCAGCCTGGCAGTTCACGCCGGAATGGAGAGAGCGGCTGTCTATAGACGGGAGAGCAGAGGGCGGCGAGGGAGGATGATTTGTTCTTTTTCGTTTACCCCCACCTCCCCGCGGCGCAGGCCGTGGGGAGGGGCCGGATTGGTGGCTACAGACTTCGTCTCTTGAAGCCATGAGTGAGTGATTGAGTGAGGGGGCGAGGAGGAGGAGGAGGAGGAGGAGGAGGAGGAGGAGGAGGAGTCCCCGATCTTGTATCTCGGTCAGTCAGGCCGTGCCAGGCAGGCGGGAGGGAAGGCGCGCACGGTCCTGGAGCGCGCCCTGCTCTCCCAGAGGGCTGGGAAGCCTCCCTTCCCGGACAGTAGAGCTCTGGAGCTCACCGTGCTGCGTGGCTGCAGGGGACTCAAGTATATATATATATATATGTATATACATATGTATATATATGTATCCCTCCTCCCTCCTCGACGACCTTCTCTTATCCCATTTTCCAGATCGCTTCAAGCGTGCGCGCCATATCGCACGACTGCAGAAGATCGAAGATGCGCCTGGCCCTGGGGGAAGGAGGGGGGCGGGAGGAGGCAGAGGAACGCGAAAAAAGAGCAAGAGGAACAAGAGCGAGGCGGATACTCAGGACAAGGAGGGCAAGCGGCAGGATGATCGACAGAAGGACGAGGAGGAGACCGCGGCTCGGAAGCGAAGAGGGAGGAGAAAATTAGACAAACACGCATACACACACCTGCTGGAGAAACGGTGAGCTTCTGAAGTGGCCAAGGCTGGACAGGACCGGCTGCGGCCAAAGGAGGTAGGACCGGCCGAGACTTCCCGACTGGGGCTGGAAATGCTTGAACGGGAGACTGTCAAATAATGCCACAGAAGGAGGCAGGAAAGGAAGACGAGAGAAAGAGAGAGAGAGAGAACAACAACAACAACAACAACAACAACAACAACAACAACAACAACAACAACAACAACAACAACAACAACAACAACAACAACAACAACAGCAGCAACAACAACAACAACAACAACAACAACAACAACACCAACACCAACAACACCAACAACAACAACAACAACAACAACAACAACAACAACAACAACAAAAAAAACGTGAAGTGAGGAACAAAAGGAGACGCAGGAGAGGGAAAACGGGACGAGATGCCAGAAGGTGGGAGGTGGACAATCACGACGAGGGGGACGAGGACGGGGACTACGAAGACGACAGGGAGGAGACAGAGGAGAAGGAGGTGGAGGAGAGCAGAAGGAGGGGGACGAGGAGGAGGAGGAGGAGGAGCGGGAGGGGAGGGAAGAGGAGGAGGAAGAGGATGAGGGCGAGGAGGCAGTGCGGAAGAGAGGTGAGCAGGGGACGCAGAGGAGCAAGAAAACACGGGCCGCGTCGGGTGTAAAGGTACCCGGGCAAGCCGCGACTCGGCCCTGGCCCCACGGCATAGCACGTCGATGCAGACCCTGGGAGGTCTTATGGTCTGTTCGACGCGATGTCCTCGCATCGCAGCGCCCGCGCTCCTGGTCCTTCTTGAGCTTCTGCATCTCCTCCTCCTCTTTCTCCTTCCGGGCCACGGCTTCTAGCCTGTGACGCTGCGAAGAGAGGCCGCCAGGAGGAGGTCGCGCTCGAAACGCCCCTTTCCTAATCAAACTGATGACGTGGAGAGGGAGCGGAGAGAAAGCGAGAGCGGAAAGGAGTGAATGAGAGCGAGAGAGAGAGAGAGAGAGAAAAAAAAAAAAAAAAAAGGAAACATAACAACGATAGCAAACAACGATTTTGCACACAACCGCAACAAAAACAACAGCACCACCACCAACAGCGATAGCAACAGCAAGAACAACACTAACAACACCATCACCACCAACAGCACCGCCAACAACAACAACAACAACAACAACAACAACAACAACAACAACAACAGCAACAGCAACAGCAACAGCAACAACAACAACAACAACAACAACAACAACAACGGCAACAACAACAGCAACAACACCAACAGCAACAACAACATCAGCAGCAACAACAGCAGCAACAGCAACAGCAACAACACCATCAACGGCAACAACAACAAAGACAATCATTTGAAGACTGTTCGGTCTGATCTGCTCGCGTGCCATTCACACGTATATTCCAAACCCTCGATACCCACCCTCTTCGTCTTCGATCGTATCCCCTTGGGGGTATATCTCTCTTACCTGCAACTTATACTTCCTGAGTCCCCTGAGGCAGGGGAAGATAGGGCAAATGGAAGGAAGGGACAAGGGGGAAGGAGGAGGATGGAGCACGAGAGAGGGTAGCAGGAGGGGGGCTAGAAGCAGAAAACACGTGGCAAAACCAAACGTACGGGTAGACTCTAACGGGCGGATTGGGAAGGTGGGCCCAGGCTGCCAGGTCGAGCAGGCGGGTAGCTGAATCGTGCGTCCTGCATGAATCGCGCAGAAGTCTCGAGGGATAGCGCGATTCCCAAATGAATCGCGAGGATCCGCAGCGAGAGCGTGATTCCTGAGAGTCGAGGGCGCTGCAGTGGAATCAATTGTGACGAAATCCCGCGCGAGAGCGCGATTCCTGCATAAGTTGTTAAAAAATCCCGCGCGAGAGCGCGATTTGAGAATACATCGCGAGAAAGCATTAGGCGGGAGCCGCTGTTGTTGTGAACCGGGGGCCAGCAACCCAATTCTGAGACCCAAGACTTTCCCTGCCCAAAAAACAGGGAGCGAACCCCGGGAAGGGCATTTCAGTTGGAAAACACAATGTGCCCTGGGGGGATCAACAACAAGTGGCACGCTTGCCCTGGCTCTTGCACATTTGAAGATAGAGGGAGGAGGAAGCGCAGATCGGGGGATCGAGGAGGCAAGGAAGAAAAGAGGCAGGAAGGGCCAGGGCGCCCCGCTGCTGAACCAATGGTTGTCGATTGGGACCTGCTCGACTCAGTTTTTCGGACAGCTGAGGAGTGGACAATTTTTCCATGGGGTGCTCTGCGAGGCCTCGGGAGAATGATTTCAGCCCCGGGGCCACGAAGGAAAAACGAAACACGAACGAGCCCTCAAGACGGCACAAAATGGCCCCAAATATATCCCCAAGAGGGCGCCCAGAGACCAAAAACAATGATTCCCCATAGGTGTTTGACACATTTTAGCGGCCCAAGCAGCCTCCAAGATGGCCCCCAGACAACCCCAGACGCCCCCAAGAAGGCCCCAAGAAGGCCCCGGAGGGCCCCAGAAGACTGCCAAAAGAGGCCCCCAAAGACCGCCCCAGAGGCCACCAAGAAGGCCCAAGCGGATGCCAAGAGAGCCCCAAGGCCTCCCGAGAGGCCCCCCAGACGGCCTCCGAAGGGGCCAGACGGCGCAAGTGCGCCCCAAGACGGCCCGAGACGCCCCTAA